TTAAGCTAGACGTCCTCTTAGAATCGGACTTAACTTTACGACCATTAGAATTATGATGCGTTTGAGAGTTTGACGCTGGTGGTCTGTAGTTACCTCTTCCTGCTTTTTGCTGGCATGGTGTTTTATCCGGAAGAGTCCTAATATCCATGAAATTTTGTTTTTGTCTCAATGAATTGGAGGAATTTAAAAATTCACTGTCGTCTACAGATGAGTTGAATTTGAACAAGATCGGTGAGTGTATACCAGGATCACTTCTATTTAATCTTGTGCATACACATGGTACGTGTGTCATTTTGCTGGCTCTAAGCAGACTAGATTTGATATTTTTAAGGGCATATGTATCCGGTATATTAAACACAATTGCATTACTAGATCGACTTATTCTTTCAAATACCTCTGATGCAACACGATCTAGGAAAATATTTATGTCATTCATTTGATCTGGAGTCTCTGTGAGGTTGGGGTTGATGAGATATTTAAGCGAATTGAGAATGTTCATGTTTACTTGTAACTTTTTTATAGCATCCATATAGTTGCAGTTGCGATTATCGTCACTGTTTACCATCAGAGTTTTCAACATGTCTGGAATGGAGACAACTGGTAAAAGCTTGTCTGCTTCCGGATGAACGGAGTGGCTCGTCTCGTTGAAATTGTTGGAAATCATGTCAGTAGTGGTGTTAAATTGTGTCGTTTTCCGACGTTTGGCTGAACGCCTGAAAACAGGGGTCTTCAGTTTTTTTTGTGGCATGATAAGGAAGTGACGTATAGCAAATGGATTGAACAGAATGTTGGAAATAGAAATGGGTGAAAAAATGAAATCCGAGGGCTCAAATTAGTGCAGAAATCAAGACCTATATTTTAACCAAGAGCGAATGTATCGTGAAGATTAGTGGCGTCAAAAACAAGAGATGAAAATGGCAGGAAGATAGTAATGGAGATGAAGTATCTATGTCACTATCTGTGTGGAGGCAACATTGAACACAAAGGAGCACATTGTGTAAATTTTAACATATATATTACACAGAAAGATAGCCTTATATATTAAAGTAATTCAAAAATTTCGATAAGTAGTATTAAACAATCAAAGCGAGTACAGTATATGCTACATATTTAAACTGAGAGTCCGCTATGATAAAAATTGGGAGGAGCAGAGATAAGTAGTTTAAAAGATTATTACCGTTTAAGATTATTTTGTTGCTTCATGAACAAACATATGAAAGAGCTTTTGGGATAAAAATACTGTCAAAAAACTATGACAGACTCACCAAATCGGATAATGAATTTCGGAAATTAAATGAGTTATAGTATCCAAAACGATACGATTATATATATATATATATATATATATATATATATATATATATATATATATATTACATAATATTAGGTAGAGGTTTGAATAGATCCTGTAGATACATAAAGTATGTGGGTTAAAGCATCCAAACACGATATAACCATGTATTCCTTGCGGAACGGAGTACAGATATGAAATGCAATTCTTCGTCACATATGATTAGATATGGTTTGATCGTATAGCCAAAATGAATATTTGTAATTATATGATTATGAATTGTTGTATGAATATGATCATAAATATCATGAGTAAATTAAACTCAGGTCTTATCATATAGCATGAAATTCACAGTTTATATGTTAACAGTTCTGAATTGAGTTATCTTCCATGATTCCAAGAAAAAATAATCCATCCATCTCTGCGAGAGTCCTAGAAAAAAGAATTGAAGGCCTCGGCTTGAAAGTAACGTCTAGTCCGTAGCGCGCACAGGTTTTATATTATAATAATATATAATAATATTATTATTCATGTAAGATTGCTTTATAGTTGCTTGCACACTTCATGACTTACGATGGATGACAGTTAGTGACTGAAATAAGTTCAAACTTTGCTTTTTTCATTGCTGTCTTATCTAGCAACAAAAGTATTAAAGAGAATATGGAAAACCATCATTCATCATGTCAAAGTGGTTATCGTAATTAAATTAATAAGATTAAAGCAGGTTTGATTAAAGTAAAACTTATTTTTAATACACACACTTACACGGTAGGTTTGAATTATTGTGTCTAGAGCTTCAAGAAGCCAATAAATTCACTTCATACTACTTCCATGCAACACTTACTAAAAGTTGGTTTTTTCAACGAAATGATAACGAATAAAGGAATTTGAATTTTTGTTAACTAGTTTCATATAATTGATCATTCATTTAAGAAATAGTACAGTCAATTCCTCGATATTATGGGTGGCAGATATAAAACCGTACGAATCTCAGTTCATATAGACAACGAATAATTCAGTACGAACTAAATTTGACAGACAGGTAATTCATCATTAGGATAAATTGTATTTGTACAGACGATCATAATGATGAAATGAATGCAAAACAGTTGCATTTTACAAATTCATGCTCCAACTTGAAGCCCATAGTTAAGATGAAAGTTTTATTGATAAATGATTAGCTGTAACAGACTAGTGATCTCATCTTAAAATCATACTCACAAAGCATTGTATAGAAATTAACTAAGATGTATTCTTAGCAATGTCAACAATCTAAAATTCACACACCTTTAATCTATTCAAAAAGTATTTGTTATTCATCTAAACTTACACTGATCATATTGATATTGACTTCATTTGGAGTCAGGTATTTAAATTGTTCAATGTGTCTCTTATCCAAAATACATTCAAGAACATTACCTAGCTGGATTAGAGACAAATAGAAATGGATTTATAAGAAATTTAATAATTGAACACTTTGTGAATATAAGTCATTCCATCAAAATAAATTCATTTACATGGTGAATAGAGAGATCTGAAAAACAGTTAGCTTCTATCTTCTTAGTATTCCCAAAGAATTCATCTCAACTTTTCAACTTTATCTTATCATTATATTGAACTTATCCTTTCCAACTAAGTAAATATTTGCGGTTATAAAGCTTTGGATATTTGAATATGTGAGACAATGGGTAATAAACTGAATATAACTTGAGAATACTAGATCGTATTATAATAGTCTGTGTCAAAACGAAACTTATTATAAGACTAATATAGATATATATACAATTTAGTTGCCGATTAACTATAAAATAAGAATTTATATATGATATTGATCCATTAACCGTTCGCAGAACATACCCTTAATTTTATCTTCACTAGGATATAACAGAACTAAGTAGTCGTTTCACCCATCATCATGAAACGCTCTAGTAATGAACATATCGGACCCATGATCATTGAGGTAACTACATAACAATTTGATTACTGAGTTGATATTTTATGGTTTATATTTATGGTATCAGCCAATTCATTGTATTTTATGACCATAAAATGTTATTACCTGTCTTACACCAAACATGGTTGGTAACATTACCACTGTAATGTAAAGAAATCCATTGATTTGACTCTTTTCAAAGTTATGGGTGTACATTGTCGAGTAATTCTATTTGAGGACGAAAAAATTGACGAAACAATAGTTATTATAAGTTGTTTAACTAAATTCAGTTCATTTTTTCAACTGCTATCATAATTCTAAAATTGTATATATTGTTATTATTATGCACAATTCTAGATGAAAAGAAAACGGTCATTCATATATTGAAGTCTGTTTGTTTGTTTGTCTTCATAATTGGATCCTTCTAAAAACTAACTTCAAAAGAATGAAAAACAGTGGACAGATCTAGCTATCCGTTTTCTTGATTTGTTGCGAACCAATTGACTTCTAGCTTTATAGCAATTCATCGACGAGGCCATGTAAAAAACTGATTTAGGGATACAACGCATTTGCGGTTACCCTAATTAGTAAGACTTCAACATTATGAACAAAAGTATCATAATCCATTATTCATCGTAGCAATTTCGATAATATAGAGAAAGGATACTTTTCCGATGTCATGTTTTTCACATTTGGAGCAATTCGTATTGTAGGTGATGTTCGACTTGAAAGCTTTACTAATAAACCACGTGGCATGAAAGGCAAAAATCCAATGAAAACAAACCTATCTGATGGTATTGCACCTGGAATGTGCTGATAAGTTTTTAAATTATTTAATTTTGACACAGGGGTTCAAAGCAGTTGTGTTCTTCGTTGAATCAATCGGCCAATCATCAATAATCAATCAATTTTAAAAACATTTTAGTCCTGTAAAAGATTAGTCATGGTTCCGAAAGTCATAGCGTTATCCACGTAGCTACTTCATCCAGGTAGCGAATGGTTGTTCCATTGAGTAAAATTTCAATTGATTTTTTTATTGGTTGCTTGAATTTTCCCATTGACATTTAGAATTGAAATTGATCAGTCTCGTATTGGCATATGTACGTTTCGTGAGGATTGCTTCGAGTGAACATCAACTTTGAGATTCAAGACTATCTAGCTCAGGAATCCTAAATACGACGAGACGCGCGTTCCGGATTCCACTGATAGCCACCAACATTTCTGCACATCATGGTTGTGACTAGAGGCAATATCTAGGGAATCAGAAAGCAATGCACCTATGCCAATAATAGACTGATCAATTTCAGTCCTAAGGATCAATGTGGACATTCAACCAGCTAATACAAAAATGAATTATTCTTTCTTTTGGTTTCTCAGTGAAATTATTTTATATTCAAGAATTTTTTAGAACGAAATGTTTTTGAAATTTAACCATAATGAATGTTGAGCACCTTCTAAATGAATTAGTCTCGGTTGTTATTTCCCCTCAGATTGATTGAGTCAGTCAGTAAAACAATGTTAGATCATTTGAAACCAATAAGTATTGGCCTTTAAATTACCCACATATCATTTCAATAGAGTAAAACGATAGTAACAAAGTGTATGATAAGGGAGTTGAAGTATTAATTAATTAATGTAAACAATTTGTCATCTTATATCTGTAACTACGAATTATGAGTAAGTGATTGGATATCAAACAGGAAATTTATATAATTAACATCACGGGTTTTCGTAATAAGAAGAATCTAATTAACAGTATTCACCAGATAATAACTAATGGTAGGTTGAGGAATTCGCAAAAAAACTTAATATTTTCGACAGGAGACACTCGGAAACTTTGAGAAGTACAGTGAGTACGATACAACAAAATATATACAATATCAAGGATGTTTCATGAACAAAGAATGATGTTTAATTTATGAATTAAACAAACAGTTGACCAGTTCTTATGAATATTGAATAAGAAGAAGTTCAATTCGAATTTCACCAGAAATAAATGTACTTCTGATAATAAACAATGAAATCTTCATTGAAGATTGTTAAATATGTGAGCAGATATCTTTTTGTCAGAAACGAATCAATGAAGGTATTCAATATTTTTATACACTTGATTGTTTATTCATTATTACAATAGATGGTCAATGAAGATAATCGAATGATCATAAATTACATCAGATTTGATGACAAAACTTAAATTAATACTAAGTAGATAGTCTTATAACAGTTCACGTTGTTGAGTTGTGATCACACGATTATTTGTAACGATAAAACTGTTATACAATATAAGGGTAAATCATGCGTCCACTTTGGGATATTGAGGATCGCAATCATATTTTGATTATTATTTCATACATCAAAGGAGTACAATTGTGATTACTGAGCGTAAACGAATTCGTGCAAGGTCACAATCAACGGAAGAGCGTATATGTTTTGGTACACTTAAACAAAGGAGTACAGTAAAACAATCACTGGTACAATTGGTTATAATAATAATAATTGTTTCCATTACACTAATCGCGTTCTCTTGATAAAAGTAGTTCATTACAGAAGCCTCACGCTAGAAAGGGTTTATAATTTCGATTCGTTCGTGGGACTGGTTAGCAAGCTTCGATTTTAGGACGAAAGGGTTGGCAGAACAGGAAGTGATCGTTGATCCTCTAGTTGCCACCGAAGGTCTTTCACGTATAACAATACCAGGAGAAACGACTGTATATGTTGCTCGAGTAAGCGTACCACATCAGATTGGTTTCTATCCAGGATCTGAAGATTGCGTTCGTAAGGGTCTGGATCAGAATACGCTGCAGACGTAGGACGGAACCACGTTGAGCCGCAGAATCAAAAGCGACCATAACAACCAAGTGCAAGATCAAACGTATGCCAGACATATTTGGAACAAGAACATCAACTGAGGACATTGATAAGAGCGTGGGTGATCAGGCCAGCTCTTGTCAAAATTGACTGAAATCGACGGTATCAAACGGACGGTGGTCGGATGCGTGTGCTCAGGATAAAAAAAAACAAAGAAAAAGAGACATGGTGTAGCATGCACGTAGTATAGGGAGAGTCTGATACCGTATTCGTTGTTGATAAGGCGGTTAAACGCAAAAGCGTGTGAGTAGGCGTACTCTGCAACCGGAACGTGATACGTTAGTCTCATTCGTACTTCGTGAGCCCTGTAATCCCATCTGAAATCAGGGGCGGCGTGGTCTGCTTATCTGGACGTGAGACGGAAGTCTCGTCCGTAAATAGTGCAGATGACACGAGCTGTTGAGAATGAGGTCTTTGATTTAACTAGCATGGAATTCGAGGTAGATGTAGAGATCTCACTAGTAGGTTTGCTGGGTCTAACATCGGGTCTCAAGTTATCAAGTAGGGCACTGCCATCGACGTGTGCTTGTTTTAGACGATCAATGCTAAAGATCTGAACGCGGCCATATCGATCAACCTTGGAGGTCTTTCCGTGACGAAAAATCACGAGAAAAGGTCCTTGGTTGGGCTGTTTCAGGGATTTGCGTACCGAATCTACTCGTATGAAACACATGTGAACAGGTAGATAACTCTTTAGGGAGAGCGACCTGTCGATATTGTATTCGAGTTGACACCGGAGTCATTGTTCACATAAATTCAGATATTCGAGGACGTCGTCTGATTTACTGAAATCGCCACTGCTCTGTAATGTTAAAAATTTCCCAGGTAGACGCACTGTCGTGCCGTATACAAGTTCAGTGTGGGAACATTGTATATCTGCCTTGAAAGTTGTTCTTGTGCCTAAGAGAAGTGGTAAACTTTCGTTTAACGGAATTTATTTTTATCGGAAGGGATTCTGTGGAGATTTTTAGAAATTTCACTGGTTGAAATCATGATTCAATTCAAGCTAGACCATCATGGAAAACCTAGAAGCATTGGACAGCAGTTTTGTCCTAGTATGGGAATTCTCAGTGAAGTGCGCATCCACGATCCACAATCATTCACATTCCAGTGCTTCCAGGTTTTCCATGCTGATCTAGCTTCCATTGACAAATGATTTCAACCGGTGAAAGAATTCATTTTATTGAAATAAAATTCAAATATAAAAATGAAAACGGTGTGTGTTACTTTGATTTTAACCAATCAAATCAAAACTTTGTGTCTTTGAAAGCCAATTCACAGTTAACTACAAGTAACACAATGTTTGTTCATGAAGATGTGAGCACAAATTACTTGGTTTAAAATATGTTTACCTATATTCAAAATAGTTTACATCAATAGGGGGTCAGGAATTTCAACCAACTGTAGATCACTATCAGGCTATATTACCTCAATAAGTGAAAGAATATTGCATAACAATGAGTTCATCTCCTATGATGATTGGTTACTAATTATGAAATTTGATCATCTTAATGGTCAATTTGAATCATCCAATCTAAAAGAAAAATACAAACACTTCAAAAGAATTCTATTTAAAACTCAACACATTCTTCCAACGACTAAAACAAGAAAATGATGTGAGTATTGACTGTACACTTAAGGCAACTGAGTGTATCATATCAATTTCAATTTGATCTACCGAGATAACAATGTTTTATTCATCTGAACCATTTTAGATATACATTTTCATTTGGTCAGTTGGTAGCGCTCTGTTCGACCATTGTCTTTACATCGGAATTTTTCGACTGTCATGAATTTTGTGAAAAATCTGAAATTCCTAATGATGAAAAAGTAATTTTGCAAAATGAGACATATAAATATGTAAGTCATCAATCAGGTTCCAACACAAATATTTAGTCTCATTATTATCGCTATTCTCAGTTAATTCGTCTTGATCAGTCCTCTCCAATTATTAGTGAAAAGTTTGAGGAATTGGTTGATACGAAGGTGAGTTAACGACGTATTCCAACGGAGATGCTAATCCATATGTTTGCATATTTTTTAGACAATAAATTTGCAATTCCCCTTTACAATTTACGGTGATACCGTCAGCACAATCGAAATATTTGGACTTGGTAAGAGAATTATCTTCCTCGAATTAAAATTTTTTGCTGAGTTATTTTTAGTCACATTTCAATTCCAGGAATTAAAGTCACTTTCATTACTTCAATAGATCAGTTTTATGCATTTTTTTAACATTCAAAACATCTACTGGTGTCTTTTTTGTTCAAGTTATAGCGTTGTAGCGAACTAATTACAGTCCATGCAATTCATTCTAGTCTCCAGTTAATTTCAAAGTCTTCTGTTCATTCACTGTAGATTATCAATTAAATTGCATATTTTCATTTGATAAAAACAGGTGGAATTTATTTTAAAGGAGAAGACGATGTTGAACATTCGATCTGGCTTATTTCCCAAAATGTTTCGTGTGAAACTGAAATTTTGAATGAGAGTGAGTTCTATTATTCAGTGAGATTTTGTTTTATGTTTTTAATTCCTCATTTTATTTTGCATAAATGATTTGACAATTAACTTGACTAATTCGTGAGAGCTGACCAGTACCCAGTGATTATTTTATTTGTGTGATTTCATGCCCTAAAGTGTAATTGCAACATGTCTTCATTACTGTGAAGTAAAAATGTTAAAAAAAACAGTCATTCACTTCAAAATAGACACAAATTGATCAAGTAGAAATAATAAACCAAACAATGTGAATGCTAAGGTGGAAACTATCTATTCGTCAATCTGTTCGAACTACCATAAAACTGATATTTCATCAATACAACACTTCTTGATAGATTGAACGAATCAAGCTGATCACAGATGCAACAATAAGTGATGTTGTGTGAGAAAGTTCATTTTGGATTATTGAAGCACATTAACTATCAATTTATATTTGATGTCCTCCAAATCTTTCTGCCAGTTACTTGGTTCTCAAACGTTCAGTTCCTCTTATCCACTGTCGTTGAATTATTGGACATTAAACACATTATTGATTATCATAATCGTTTGATCATGAAGTTTGAACTCATGCACCACCTCAAACATCCAATCAACTAACAATCACGAATAATATAATGGTACAAAATGATGGATTCGAACTAGAACACTTAGAGAATCAAAACGAAGGGCATTCATTTTATTCACTTATCGAAATTAATGTCAATGTGATAACATTTTCGGGCAATCATTGGTACAGTTAAGAGAATTCTGTTCTTTTGGAATAATAGAGTTTCACAAAAAGATTTTCCATGTTTATTGTCGAACAGATACTAACGGCTTTTTAGTTGGTCAAAAGCTTACAGACACAACATTTCAGACGTTTTCTCAGTTGACTGAATTGAAACATTCATCATATTGATGAAATGATAATGCAGATCATTGAGACTCTCATTGAGTTGAATTGGTTCACTATAATCTTGAAAGGAACACCATAACGTGTGTTCAGACACATTTTGTGTTAAAAAATTCATGTTTATTGAAAGAGGTGAATATTCATTATACAGATACATGAACGCAAATGTATTTTGCTTTCATTATTTCAGAGGAATATTTTGCTGTCAGAAAGTCTTGTACTACAAAGATTGATAATGAAAGTATGTATCCATATCAATGATTGTTTGATAACATGTGAACTATTAACATTTACATCATCATTGATTGTAATTACTTAAATGTTTTCTATTCAGTTTGAGTAATTGAATTCTTCCTGAAACCTAACAGAAATATTAAGGTGTAAGCATTCTACAAAGTCAGAGGCTAAATACACATAGAATCCACTGATTGTTGATACGTATTTGATTGAAACTTAAAGAATAATGTACATACATTTGGATACATTAGGTCATAATCACATTTCCTTTGTAGACACATTTAATAGAAAAATGATGAAACGTCTGCTTTTAAAAATATGTACATATGTGTTCATCAAAAAATCACTTCTGTATATATCACATTCATCTGGATGTTCATTCATTACACGATCATTCTTAACTTTTATTCTTTCAAATTAAGAGATCGTTAAAACGATATGTTTTAGGCGCATTCACTCATCAACTTTAACAAATAATGTGGACAATGTCATTAGATCGACTGATATACCAGTGCGTTACATAACTAAATAAAATCTAAAACTCGGATGATAAGCAAACAAACCGCAGCTCATGTCGATCGTATCAGCCGAAATATAGTAATTATCCCACCAGTTTCAGTACCACTGCAACTATCAGATCTAATCGGAATCTAGGTGAATAATTGTTTGAATGTGAAAACTAAGCAAACTAAGCATCTGACGTTCATTATGAAGTATACGTGCTTATTTCATTTACACAACATTCACGAGATTATTTTCATAACGAAAACATTTGAGATAGCACAGTGAATATCTGCTAAAATCTGATCAATCTGTGCGTGTAGGCACATACAGTGTCACATCTAGCCATGACATGCTCGATCCTAATCCATGAAATTTTAAATATTGATAGTTTTCTTTTTTGCAGGGGGCACAATCAACGCAATCTACTTGATACACTCGAATGGGAAGGCATATTTCTATTATGAGAACGTAAGCTGAGCAAATGAATCGACTATTCTATTATTTCATGCATATCAGTACTGTCAAATACATCGAAATATTTTGAAAAGGATGAAAGGACACGAACATTTTGTTCTGTGCATACAGACTTTGTAAAATTAGTAATAATCCATTCATGACACAGTTTATTCTAGCATTTTTTAAAATAATGAACAATAAAAAGTGATGTAATATGTAAACGAATTCGGATGCCTTCGAGCCAATTAAGGACAAAGAGTGTATGTTAGAGTTCTGTACATGAACGGTCATTTCCAGCTTTCTACAGACCGGTTGTTAGAAAAGTTCATAATTGAATATTTTGAGAGAGAGAGATGTTGTTAAAATCTTGATCGCTTATCAGATTGTATTTGTTCGAATGTCACTATTTAGAACTTTATCGATTTGCAATACAATAAATGTTGGATGACTACAAATGGCTAGTGAGATGAATCCGTCTTGTTTATTTCGAGGTAGTCAAAATAAACTCTGAAATGAATGTTGTTGAGAAATGAACGGCAAATGATATAAGTAAGCACATAAACACAATTTAACAACAGAACAACAAATTCACGTTCAGCGACATTGAAGTTATTCACAATCACACTTCTATCAACGGGCGTAGATGTTCATCTTACAACGTACGGCCTCATTCCATGATAAATAGATCGTTAATCTAACTACACTGAAGTTGTCAACTGACATGAGTCAGAATATCTTTGTAAATTAGATGGAGTATATATCTTGTGGAACCGAGATCAGTATGCTTACTGTAAGTGTGATTAGTTGTCTTTGAATAAGATAATGTGAATGACGACACATTACTTCAATGTTTGGTTGGTTTCGATATAGTTTGTTGTGTATTGACAGATCTTGAATCAGACTTCCATTGCTCCTTTTCAGATTCCTGTAGGACTTCAAAGAATCTATGTTCAACCGAGATTTGATTATTATACTTTGTGTGGGGAAGGTAACAAATGTTATTTAAATCCTAATTTACACTAACTTACATGAATAATCATCTGTTAGCATGATGTTACTTTCTGATTGTACACGATCATCACTATGTCAACGTGAAGATTTTCTGTAATTTATAATGGTGACCGAATTTGTGTTTCTTACATTCTACAGAATTCAGTGGTTTTTGTTTGTACATTAAATTGATGGAAGTGTCGTTGAAGTAGTTAGAAAAAACAAATGAAATAAAAACTGAATAATTTAGGCAAACTCAACGTCCTAATGTTACTATTAATTGAAAATCCAACGTCAATTTGGTGTTTGGAAATCTTGAAGCATGATTAATGTGTCACACGTAATAAAAATTCATAATCGAAACTCATCCTGTAAACATTTTATCTTTCTAATTGATAACAAAGTATCCGTATCTTCAATTCAACAACCGTCATCCTCGTTGATATCACAAAACAGCTTAGAGTTGTTGTGATGAAATCGGAATCATATTGCTTTATATTTTTGTGCTAAGCTCCATCAAAAAGAATTTCAAGATCCACTTCAGCTGACGCTTGCCTAACTTGGTGTACCGAGTAATATAACTAAGATGTGTGAATATCTTCATCACGAATTCGCGGATATACATTTGGAGAAATCTTCTGTGTAGTCTAAACGATCCAGACAGGAATATATGAATGAGGATACTAGACAGACGATATATCTACTCATTTATTCACTCACACACTAATAGACAGTCAAACTTGCAGCCTCTCAATATTGACTATTTGTGATACAATTTGTGACGAGATAAAAATATTTTTCTGTAGATATTGCACTGACACCTTAGTAAAACAAATCAGGAATTTACCGATACCATTTTTCATTTAGTAGTTGAACATCTGTCACTTTCAGAACCTTAAGCGATGTAGAGCATATTTCATAAAGATGTTATCCGATCATCATTGTATCTGTAATCAGATATTAAACAGTTTGATCGTTTGTTAAACAAACAAACACGTTATATCCAAAATGCGAATCAGAATTTTAAGCGTCTTCTTCTGTGCAATTATTCACATTAGATTGGAAAACTATAAACGTACGTCCTGATCAGGAATGGATGAAAAGTGGAATGCTTGTGGAATATGAAATTCTTGGGGGTATGTCAAACGTTATTTTATCAGAGTTGACCATTTTCACACTTTGATGCATCACTTTTGTTTCATAAAACTGGAAATTTCATGTATTATTTCAGACAGTTATTAAATGATATCAAGCCATCAGTCTCAACTGACGTTACACCAAACGACGATTCACTGTTGCATATTTAAAATGACTACAGACACATTTTGAAGTACAATAGAAGTCCTCAGTTGGATGAAATTCAGTTAAACAAAATATCGCAGGACGATGGATGAGATGATATCAGTCTGAATGTTGCCAAATAGTTTGAAACTTTCTATCATTGTAGGTTGATGGAAATCTCTTTACGGAAAATCTCAACAGTGAATTGAGTATCAATGTCACTCTTCCTTTGTTGTTTGATTAAATTACCATAATAGAAAATAAATTTTCTCTCTGAGTACAACTGATGTTCATGCACCGGCTTCTAAATAGTCAGTTAGAGTGAAATAACAATGTTATTCTCCATTCTGCATATGCAAAGATGGTATACACGAAATATTTCAATCATAAAGCACGAAAGCGATCCGTTAACCATCTAGCGTGTACATTTCTTTTCTAATATTAACAGTCATTGATATCCGTGACATTCGCCTGACAAATTTCATCGCTCAATATGCAACGTAATTTTATTCAATTCCAACACGTTTTCGGGAAACGTGAATAACATTGAAAGTGTATTGAATTTTAGATTGAGCAATCTGATGACAAGTGCTCAGAGAATGAAATACTCATTTAAATCTGAAATCGTCATCATTGAGTAACAGTTACATGTTTTGTAATTCATTTATCTTTTGATTAATAACTCGAAATGCAATCAACTTCTTCTTTTCACTGAAGATTGTCCGAATCGCAAATCGACTAAAGCATGTCAAGACGGAACAACACCAAATACAACGTGTATTTGGTGTGAAAAACCCAATATATGCATTACCAGCAATGATAAGGTTGTCCATGACTTCAAAGTAAATGGTTGCAGGAAAGAAGTAAGCAATTGGTAGACTTCAAAAATTGTTCTTAATTTTACGATATCCCAAATCGCAATCATTTTTTGGAAGATCATTTGTATTGTTACGAATTAGTAGTGTTTACTATTGTACCCTAAGTGCATTATTCTAAGTAACTTGTACGATATTGAAGCACATATGAATGCAATACTCTATTTCCATGTGGACATTGAACAATGAATAGAAAAGTTGTTAAACACTAATGCCTGGAAAGATGTTAATTCTTTAGCTCATAGAATGTGTAGTGATTCCCGATGTTCATTATGAAACCGTATATCTACGTGAACTGTTGTAGAATACAGATGAAATCAGTTTGAATGATGAAGTGTAATCTGTTGAAAATTGTGTAGCATGTTCGGATAATAAGTGAAAGTTCGCAGTCCCATTGTTGAAGTACAGAACAAGTATTTCTGATTCATTGTTGAGAAATGTATACCCTGAATGAATTGCTTCAATAAAGCCGTCAGTCATAAGTTTGTTGAATAATGTATAGATTGTGATGAAATGTGACATCCAGCATGCAACAATATTCATCATTCAAACAAAAGTCGTCAGTTAGATGTTGGATAATGTGTACAAATCACATTGATTGTAAAATCGATAGCAGATATTCTAAATCATTATTCATTGATCATAATGTGCAAATGTTAATTATGTAACTAATTGTTGAATTCACTTGTGTCATCAATACTGACAATGGTGTATAATGAATGATGAAATATTTGATACTTAATTATATTTCCACTGTTTCTTTCTTCTGAAGGGCTCAATTGTCGATGTTTCCACTGAACCAACTGAACCAACAACTGAACTAACAACTGAACCAACAACTGAACTAACAACTGAACCAACAACCGAACCAACAACCGAACCAACAACCGAACCAACAACTGAAACAACAACTGAACCAGCAACCGAACCAACAACTGAACCAACAACTGAAACAACAACCGAACCAACAACTGAACCAACAACTAAACCAACAACCGAACCAACAACTGAAACAACAACTGAACCAACAACTGATCCAACAACTGAAACAACAACCGAACCAACAACCGAACCAACAACTGAACCAACAACTGAAACAACAACCGAACCAACAACTGAACCAACAACTAAACCAACAACCGAACCAACAACTGAAACAACAACTGAACCAACAACTGATCCAACAACTGAAACAACAACCGAACCAACAACTGAACCAACAACTGAACCAACAACTGAACCAACAACTGAACCAACAACTGAACGAACAACTGAACCAGCAACCGAACCAACAACTGAACCAACAACTGAAACAACAAACGAACCAACAACTGAACTAACAACCGAACCAACAACTGAACCAACAACCGAACCAACAACTGAAACAACAACTGAACCAACAACTGATCCATCAACTGAAACAACAACTGAACCAACAACTGAAACAACAACTGAAACAACAACTGAACCAACAACTGAACCAACAACCGAACCAACAACTGAACGAACAACTGAAACAACAACTGAACCAACAACTGAACGAACAAATGAACCAACAACTGAACGAACAACTGAACCAGCAACCGAACCAACAACTGAACGAACAACTGAACCAGCAACCGAACCAACAACTGAACCAACAACTGAAACAACAAACGAACCAACAACTGAACTAACAACCGAACCAACAACTGAACCAACAACCGAACCAACAACTGAAACAACAACTGAACCAACAACTGATCCATCAACTGAAACAACAACTGAACCAACAACTGAACCAACAACTGAAACAACAACTGAACCAACAACTGAACCAACAACTGAACCAACAACCGAACCAACAACTGAACCAACAACTGAAACAACAACTGAACCAACAACCGAACCAACAACTGAACCAACAACTGAAACAACAACTGAACCAGCAACTACTGAAACTGATCTAAGAAATGAATTGAAGAAGACTAGCCCAAACACTGAATCACATTTGGTAAATATTTGATACTTTTTCATCATTATACTATTTCGTTCATTTCAGAACATGACCGCAGATACAACTGTAGACATTGAGAAAAGAAAATCACTGCAATACGTGTACATCGTTGTACCATTAGTTATATGTTTCCTTATTTTATGCATTGCCTGTGGCATTTGGCTATGATTCTACAGAAGGAAGGGAGTTTATCCATAGTCCTCACAAAGAGCTTGTCGATTGTTTTCATCAAGTTGACTTTGATATATTTTCATTTTTTATTTTATGAAATACACTTTCTGTTTTGTTAATCATTTACATACATTAAAGATGGTTTCATGGAACTGAATATTACATCGATGATTGTTTATGTAATGACTGATGTCACTTTTTTTGTTAGAATGTAAAAATATAATCTTTTTGTATTTATGTCATTACTTTTATTCGATGAAAACGTGGGTAATTTCACAAGAGTTTACAACATTGCACTTGTCAATTAACAGTATCGTGTATACATGATTATGTGACCATTGAAATCCCAAATGAATCCGTAGTAAATGTTCATTTTGTTAAAGTCTCAATACTGAGAAATGTCAATGGAAATTGTTGTCGTTCATTGATTTAAACTAAACTGTTTTAATGCGGCATCAATATTTATCAAGGCACATTAATCCTTCGTTACTTGACTATTCACTGTTGAGTGGAAGCTGGTTGACAGACTGTTGTTAATTAGGTGTTATGAATGTGTTGAATATGAAATAATCTTAAAGGGTCTAGCTGATACTCAAGTAGGAATGACAAAAGATTAAGAGTGAATAATGAACTTGTAACAGTTCTGTCGTAGCATTGTTAATAAGACGAGATATTTGAAAAAATGAAAACACTGAAGTGTTTGCGTCAATGATTGATCAACTTATTAAACATAACTTGGCTAATAACCGATCCTATTCTCATGGATGTATGAGGAAATAGTCGACAAAAAATCATTTGCATTAGGTGTTCAAATGTTCTTGTTCAATGTAATATATATTAGGGTGAACACAGACATGATAAATATTTACCTGTGGCAGTCTGCATTCCCAAATGTCATGCTTGAAACGTGACAAAAGTTGACAGATTATAATAATATGTTAAAATACTGTTCATTTCGTTAATAATGATTGCAAATACGGTTATTAAACTTAAAATCGACGGGAGCTCTTGGTGATAATAATCCACATCTAATCATAATGTTCGAGGTTTCATTTCCATATAAATGGGCAATTACATACCTCTCTTGGTTCGTTCCATAATTCGATTGTTGTCAAACGTAGTATACAGTTTCGTTATTTTAGACAAAGATTGGACTTTACAAAATCACAAAAAGAACCTGCCTTCAATAGTTTTCAAAGAAGATTCCGATGCTTTGATTAAACATTTCATGGCTGATTGCGTTAAGTGCTGTGAATGGATAAGAATTCATTCGTCAACGCTGAATTCACATTTGTTGAAACTAACACACACCACAAGTGATGCTGAGGATATTTTAGTGAAGCTCATTATTCTAAAATGTGCAGTGAGGCCGATTTGAAGTACGTCATTTTTCGGATTCTTCTGGATAGACGTTGATCAGATTTGACAACAACTATCAATCTTCGTGGTCTATTCAAGTAAAATTCCCGTCCATTTGGTTTAAGTTATTCTACAGCCATATTTCATGAAGTGGTCCATAGTGTAGTCGGTGATCTTAAAAGTGTTGACATTTGTCAGGATGATCTCAATCTTTATGGTTCTCATAAAATATCTCACGGTCTGCGACATACTACTTTCTTCGTAGTCTGCTTGAGAAAACATTGTCATCAAGTCAAATGAAGGTTCATTTCATTTGTTTGGTATTGAATCTCTTGGATATTAGGCTGATATTAATGATTTTGGACCAGATATAAGGCGATAAGCTTCATTTACATTTTCATCATCTCTACAAACCTCTACACAATTATGTTAACTAGCAGGTGCTCTTCATTGTTATTCGCTATTTATTTCTGATTTTCTTTATCGTACAAACTCTCTTCGTTGATACTTGAGATATGTAATATGGACTATCACAAAAGTTAGAAATTGTGCTCTGAAACGTTGATTTCTGGTATGCTTTGCCAGGATCGATGGGTTACTCACCATACATGATGTAATCTGACTAATAAAAGATGCTGATCCTTAGAGTTTTTAGACTGTGCTCCCATTAAGTGTTTTATATTAAAGGTTTCCCTGCAATATCAGGATTGGAGTTTAGGGATGAGCGACCAGCAACAATAATGAAAAAAAGAGGTAAACTTCATTCAGCATTCATTGGAAAACTATATTCAATTTTATCTTGCACTCGATTTTACAAAATGTTTGCAACAACTGAGAAATGTGCATGTTCCTCTATCTTTCATATCACTCAAGTTTATAGATGTCTATATCACAGAATTTATTTGGTCATTCACTTCTTCACAATCAACATGTAGATCATCATCGTTTCGTTATCTGCATCGATGATCATTGTTTACTCGAGTTGGGTGGGAATTTTGTGAACTTCTATCCCAAATCGAAGTCACATCTTCCTGTCAATTGGTATCGTGGACCAGTCTTTGGCGATATCTAGGCACTGTGGCTGTAGTGAGTGAGAACTCAGGTGCGAATGACCAGTTAATTTTTAGTTGCACAATCACAGACTGTTTTCATATAACATAAAAGCCACACATGCCACATTTCGCTTGTATTTCTTCCGTCAGGTGAATCTTACTGACTTCATTTGTCTTTCATTCCAGATGAGTCCAACTGTGTTCAGTGTGAGGCAGTTAACTACCCAAAACAATAGTAGATGGTCGCACAATGTCGTGAATTGGTTGAAGTTAGACGTGAACACCGTAGGATGCTACTCAGTGGCAAGAGACTAAACGTTTGCGCAAGATTCAATGACATATATTCGATTTCTGCCTTCATGATTCTTGATAGGTACTCCAATGGGGTCTCGTAATACAACAAACAGGCTGCTGAGTGATTCCGGATATTTAATACAGTTCCAACATTTATCAGTCCATGATTTCAATTAAAAATCATATATCCTGGAATTCGTCTAGTTTCATTAACAAAACATCACACATTGTGTTTGTTGTACTCATTTTTACAGACTATGTGAACAATTAAAATTTTTGTTTCATGACGACTCTTGCGGTGATATTTTGGTTTGCATTTTCATTCACTGACTGTGAAATATTTCATCTATAAATACTGTGGAAAAATTTCCAAAATATGTCACTCCTGAAGTTCACATTGTGTTCTCAATAACAACTTTGCATCGTTATTCGAAAAGCTGTCAAGAAAAGTACAATAACAATTCGTTGAACGTTCAGTATTAAGTCAGGCATCATTGAACGCTAACATCAGCCTATTCAATCCTTTTTTTTCAAGAAAATCATTTCACAAACACTTTTCACAATCGAAGGTCTACGAAAACTTATATATAACTGTTACATTACTAGGGGCCACAGGCAATATCCAAACCGAGAATTCAACATTTATTTTATAAGTACAACGAGTTTAAGGTTGAACGGGTACTTCCCCAATGGAAGGTTGTTCGAAGCATAACACTATTCTCAGACGGATATACCCATTCACATATAGTTAGTGATATTCTAGCGATGTTCTAACGATGGATATTAACATTGGACAACACATCTCATATTGATGAAATAACCACTTCCGTAATGAGCACTCAGATCATCATTCTTAGTGTGAAATCACTAGTCTTGTAAAGTACCACAGCTTTTATCCCTCCAGTTTAAATAAACGTTTCTAAACTGATGAATTTTGCTTTTAACACTTCTTTTTAACTTATGTTGATTTTAAAAAGAATAATTCGTTTACACAATATTTGTCACTGATGTTTTGAATGGAATAACACCTCCTGTAAGATCCAGTTTTAACTTTTGTGTGTGTGTGTGAAAATCCTTCCATGTATACATTTGTAGTTTGTTCCTATCGTTGTTCTTTTACTTGTACATTTTGTTATTCTCTTTGATTCTATTCGAGTTGGTCATATTTGTATTTTATTAGTCTTTATTTTTCTCACAGCTTCACTAAGTTTCCGTGCTTCTTCCTGAACTGCATTCATGTTGTGCTTACTTGATACCTAGTCTTGGCAGCAGCCAAATTGGTTTGTTAATCCTCCTCATTTTGGTTTTGTTACCTGCATGGACTTGAATCGTACATTTTTGATAGTCAATTGAGGCACTCGTCCAGAATTGGAAACACTCTGCGTTATAAAGCGATCAAATAGTATCTTTAGAACGAATCACTGCGTGATCCATGCAAACAGGATGGAATAACATTAAGTTGTTGCGATCGGTAATTTTCTGTCATCCATTAGCAACTTCCGTATTTATTATAATTTACATTTGATTCGTTGAACAATTATTGGCTGAATAGCTGAGTGGTCATATTTGTTTAGGTAATAGGGTATGTTTAAATTTATAATGAATTTCAGAACAGTCATTTTACCCGATCACTTTGTTTTGGTTTCATCCAGGCAAGGGCACGTATCTAACCCACCAAGACAGTTATTATTCAGTCCAATCTAACATCTAATCTAGCATCTAACACCTCCAAGAATTCGTACGTTAATTAAAATGAAGTATCTTTCAAATTATTAAAACAAAATTTATTTACCAGAAAATTAACGGAGTTATAGAAGGTTTTTAACGTCATTCAGTTTTCCTCTACATTAAATGTCCCATGAGATTGCAGTTGTTTTAACATTGAGATTCATGAGTATTATACTAAACGGCCGTCCGTTGCTTCTAGTTTTTAATGGTGGCCTAGCCCAGATTGATAAATGGATTCAAGCATTGTCGAATTCAACATGGCAGTTTAATTCCCTATCACCAGAGGGACGAACAGCATGTTTTATGATATGCAACTCATCCAGTATATGTTAATCTACCAGGAGTGTGACAAAACAGGAATAATAATAATAATTATTATTATTATTATTATTATTAGCTTTATTC